TGTGGTGCTGAAGGATCTGGAGCCTCCCATCATTGCTCGTTTTGTGCGCTTTATGCCAGTGACTGACCACTCCATGATTGTGTGTATGAGAGTGGAGCTCTATGGCTGTGAATGGCTGGGTAGTGCAGCAATTTCATCCAGTTATACTAGTGTAGTCATTTTTTAAACTTATCAGTTATGTTATGAGTTTTGACATGCAGGAGGCTTCATTCAGTTTCATAATATGCTATAAGCATGCAGTGAGTAAACCAGTCATAATCATTACCCTGTGACCTGCCCCTTTTAGATGGCCTGATGTCTTACAGTATCCCAGATGGGCACCAGATGATCTACAGAGGCCTGGATGTCTACTTTAATGACTCTGTGTATGATGGAGCATCAGCTGAAAGGTTTGGATTTGACCTCTGCTCCAGAAAGAAAGATGTAGGCCACAATTAGGTGATATTTTGTTTATTTGCTGTGAGTGTAGTCATTTTCTTCCAAACTGACTGAGACTGCAAATTTTTCTTTGAGCTGAAATAGCAGTTGTGAGTTTACAATTCTCTGCACTCCTCAGTGAATAAACCGTCCCGTTTTCCTCTACTAGACTGACAAAGGGCCTCGGCCAGCTGACAGATGGCACTTGGGGTCTGGATGATTTCCTCCATAGTCACATCTATGGCATGTGGCCAGGGTACGACTACGTGGGCTGGAGCAACAAGAGCTTCCCCAAAGGTTACGTGGAGATGATCTTTGAGTTTGACCATGTGCGAAACTTCACTTCCATGAAGGCAAGAAAACTTTGTGGGTAGTTAATTGAACAACGTAGTCGTAAAAAGTTGCAGATTTTTTTAAACTGCTGAGCTAGCACTATGCTGAACTGAACTGTGCTGTGTCATGCTGGCTATGTACCCATCTTGTAGTGCTGCTACATATTTAATTGAGACATAAAATTTATTAAATATCATGCAACAGTTTTGCTGTGTGACAGTTTTTGTATAATTAGCCTATTTGTCATGGATAAGTGCTGAGACCAGAGATCAGAGATAGAAGATGATGTTTTTTAGCGATAGTACAGCAACACAGATTATTTATCACTACACCGGCTCCTGCCTCATCTTCCCCTTCAGGTTCTAAGTGCTTTTGTATCTGTTTAGTAAAGAAAAAATACTCCTTGTAGAGCTGAGCAAGGTAACTGAATACAGGCAGAGATACAGTTTTTAGTTTTGTAATCATATCTTTTTATATTTACATTTCCCACTGTCTCCTCCACAGGTTCACTGTAGTAACATGTTTAGCCGAGGGGTGAGGATGTTCAGGCAGGCCACCTGTTACCTCCGGTCAGGATCAGACTGGGAGGCTGACCCTGTGACCTTCAGGCCCACTGTTGACCGCGTGAGCCACATTGCACGTTTTGTCACCGTGCCCCTCGGAGATCGCACAGCCAGCGCCATCAAGTGCCGTTTCCACTTCAGTGACCTTTGGATGTTGTTCAGTGAGGTGGCCTTCCAGTCAGGTAAAAAAGGCTGAGGTGTGGGTGTCAGTTTTCAGTCAGTGCCTCGTTAGAAACTTTGACTTGATCATATAATTCTAGCATGTACCAGAGCTACTGTATGTCCTGCTGTATAGCCTTCAGCTTTACCTTTCCTGCTTTGCTTCTTTCACTTACAGGCTCAGCAGTGTACAATACATCTCTGACTCCTCGCAAATATGGACACCCGACACACCTATTACCAGGTCAGCAGATGAACCCTCTGTGGTTAGTTTCTATAAGCAGTGGCTGTAGCTTTAGTGAAGTGACAGGTAGGTTGTGGAAAATGTGGCTTAACTAGAATGTTTTTGGTTGAATAGCGCCCCCTTGGTGATAGCATCAGCAATAACTCCATTATTGTCAAGATAAATGCTCTTTTTTACTGTAGCTGTAATAAAACTTGTAGGCGATTAAACAGTGAAAAACACGAACTGTGATGGATTCAATCAAATCTATTTTAACTCATACCTCTCATTTAATTTAACAGGGGAAGATCCTACTCATAAAGTTGATGACAGCAACACCAGGATCCTAATTGGCTGCTTGGTGGCCATCATAGCTATCCTATTGGCCATCATAGTCATCATCCTATGGCGGCAGGTGTGGCAAAAGATGCTTGAGAAGGTGAGAAGAAAGGTTTTTTTTATAAATTTATATTTGATGGATTAAAATTCATCAATTATCTATATCACTTCTCCTGCAGAGGGTAGAACTGGGGCTGGAGCCAGTCCCAGCTGACATTGGACCAGAGCTGGGGTACACCCTGGGCAGGTTGCCAGTCAATCACAGAGCTGACATGTAGAGAAAGACAAACATTGACTCCTATGGACAATTAGTCACCAGTTAACCGAACCTTCCTGGTACCAAGAGAAAACCCACACAGGCACAGGAAGGGCATGCAGACATGCAGATTTGTAGATATGCAGATAGAAAGTCCCCAGTCAACCACAATGTTCAAACTGAGAGAGAACCTTCTTACTGTGAGGCAACTGTGCTAACCACTGCATGATATTCTATGCCATCTTTAGTGTTCACTTAAAAAGCTTCTCATCAGATCATGCACTACACATTTAACAACGTAGATAATTTAGAGATTATACATGCAAAAAACAAATCTGTAAGTCCTCAAGCGTGGTTTTGGTTTGGCTGCAAGGAAGACATACTATGATCAGAGAGGGGGTAAAGGAAATGACATTTTGAATGTATTGTTTTATAAGAGGAGTTTTATGAGTTAAAGTGAGGCCCTCATGGAGCCCCGTAGACAACATTTCAAGATGGTAGGCAATGCCATCAGCAGCCCATGATGCCCTGATATTGAAAAGTCAAAAAAAAACTTTCACTGTGCAACTTTTCCTTTTAATGACTTTTAATTTACCCAAGTGTGTCATCTTTAAGTTTTATATATCTGACTTCCAACACTGTACTGTACAACCACCTTGCAAGAGAAAAATTCTCTTTTTGACAGAAACGAGAAATAACAGACCTCAGCTCTTGTACATTCTCTTCCGTAGGCTTCTCGACGCATGCTGGATGATGAACTCACAGCTCGTCTTGCAGTCCAGACCGAGGCCTTCTCTTTCCACCACTCCTCCCTGTCCAGCGAGGGCAGCTCCACCTCCAACTCCACCTATGAGAGAATCTTTCCCCTGTGTGCAGACTATCAGGAGCCCTCACGCCTCATCCGAAAGCTGCCTGAGTTTGCTCAGTCCACAGAACACCTGGGTAGGACAGGAAACACACAGTGTGTTAAATACAATACTGTGGTCTGAGGCCATAGCCACTGCAGTGTGCGAATCTGTGTATTCCACATCAGGACCAAGTACCTCCTGCAAAGCCATTGCAGCTGGCGGTTCAGAGGGCGCCCCCCACTATGCAGAGGCAGACATTATCAGCTTGCAAGAATCTTCAGACAGCGGCACCTACTCCATCACCCCTGTTAACATGAGTCTCTTTACTGGCACAGATTCATCCATGAAAGAGTTCCCCAGACAGAAGCTCACCTTCAAGGAGAAACTGGGAGAGGGCCAGTTTGGAGAAGTATAGTTTTGTGGTTCTAATGTTTGTTGGCATCGATGTGGTATTTTAGAAATATTCTTAGAAGTGGTCATTAGATTCACTGGGCTGCTCTCTCTTCTGGCATTGTTATGCTGATGCATCTTTATAGCTCCCATTTTTAAAATTGAATGACAGATGTTGCTCAGTGGCGAAACATCACAGTTAAATGCAGTGCAGTGCACGCTGAGAGTGAATGATGGACTGAAAAAGTGCTTTTTAACAGGTGCACTTGTGTGAGGCAGAGGGCATGCAGGACTTTTTGGATGAGGATTTGTCTAAAGAGGGAACCAGGGAGCCACCTCTGCTTGTTGCTGTTAAAACACTTCGGGAGGATGCCAACAAGAATGCAAGGTAAAAACAACTGGAAACCTTTTTGTTTATCCATTTTAAGACATGTATATTTTCTTCACTAAATAGGCAGAACATCTGTACATGTGCAAAAGTTGTACAACCTGTACAGTATCTGTAAGTATTTGCACTATGCTCCAGCTGATTGTTCATATTCATTCATTTGTCAATCAAATGGTACATTTTTCTTCTCTGTCCCTGCTGTGCTACAGAAATGACTTCCTGAAGGAGATCCGAATCATGTCCCGTTTGAGAGACCCCAACATTGTCCGTCTGCTGGCGGTGTGTGTCGACACAGACCCTCTGTGCATGATCACTGAGTACATGGAAAATGGAGACCTGAACCAGTTCCTGTGCAGTCTCAGGCTCAAAGAGGTTGCTGATGAAGACGTAGCAGAACAGAAGGAGAAGGAGAAGGAGAAGAAGAGTATGGTCAGGTAGTCTCTTAAATTCAATGGCTATGAGGGATATAATATAGAGAGCCATGATACTTAGGACTTATGGTCTTCTCTGCCCTTTAGCAACCTGATTGGCATGGCTGTGCAGATTGCATCTGGTATGAAGTATTTGTCTTCTCTCAACTTTGTCCACCGTGATCTGGCCACTCGCAACTGCCTGGTGGGTAAGAACTACACCATAAAGATAGCTGATTTCGGTATGAGTCGTAACCTGTATAGAGGGGACTACTACAGGATCCAGGGCCGGGCCGTCCTGCCCATTCGCTGGATGTCCTGGGAGAGCATCCTACTGGTGAGTGATGTGTGTAACAGGGGACAACATTAAAGTCATTCAAAAAAAGTAAACTATTAGCATCGCTGTGTTTTTAAATCTTATCTTCCACAAGATTTTATATCAATTTGGGCATCAATCACATAGGAAAGACTTGCTTTTTTTGCCCCATGGCAAAAATGTGCATTGGGTCCCCCAATATGTGTGTATAAAGCAAAAATTAAATTTTGTAAATTGCCACATGTAAGCACAGCATATTTGAAAACAAAAATAAAATAAAATAGAGGCCATAACAGGGTGTAAGACTAGATTTAAACTCAAAGCCTCAAGATGTGTCTGCAAAATTAAATAATAATGTTTGTGTTGCTTAAAGTCTCTATCATTTCAGTTTATAAGGTGGTTTAGACATGCAGTAAACAAGTCTGCAATCAGTTAATTACCACAAACTAATTGCCTTCACGTCCCAAGGCAGCTGACCACTTTGTCTGATTGATATTTTTTTCCAATAGTATAGAGGAATGTTTATTTTTTGTTTATTGCCATTGTTCAATAAAACAAGATAAAGAACAAATAACACCAGGACAACCAAGAGTAAAGGCCTTAATAATACTGTTCATGATTTGACAGGTGATAATACTGTATCTGTGGTATTTATTGTATGTGTAGCTGCCTACTGTTTGTCAAATTCTGTGCCAGAGCGTACTTGCATATAGAGTTGTCTGTTCTCTCAGGGTAAGTTCACCACGGCCAGTGACGTATGGGCATTTGGGGTGACTCTTTGGGAGATTCTGACTCTGTGTAAAGAGCAGCCCTATTCCCAGCTGTCTGACGAGCAGGTCATCGAAAACACAGGCGAGTTCTTTAGGGACCAGGGCAAGCAGGTGAGCATCCAGTCAATCCAAGGCTACCGGTCTTCTGATAAACAATCTTTTTATGGTCCTTCACTGTTTGTTTGTGGTGATCACAGCATCACGTTTGCAACTCATACTCCTACACACACATTATTCTTATTTCATGCTCACAGGTGTACCTGCCAAAGCCTCCCTGCTGTCCTGACAGAGTCTACAATGATCTGATGCTGAGTTGCTGGAGGAGGAACGCCAAGCAGAGGCCGAGCTTTCAGGAGATACACACTCAGCTGATGGACAGTCTGGCATAGCACATGGAATAGATCAATGCTCACTGCCATGCACTGGTACACTGGCTCACTACATGGCCTGTAGTATGTATTTTTTGGAAGTAATATTTATCAGTTGGCTTATGCTTGCTTACCACAACTGCCTTGTAAATAATAAGAACTGAGAAGAAGGTATACACTTGAACAGAGCCTTAAATTGTAGATATCATGCAAATTAATACTTACAGTGTATTCACACCTCTATATATTTATTAACTTTTCTTTTTATTTCTTATGCTATGTCTATTTATTGAGTATGGTAATTCTAGATTTGGTAAAGTAGTAGTAAACTATTTCTTATCCAAACATGCATCTAATTCTATTACTTAGAGAATGTCAGTATGGATCTCTTATCAAGTATTTTTCATTTCTAAGTGTCTGTTTTTGCTTTATAATTATAGCATTAACATATAATGACTGTTTCCTGGATGAGAATGTGTTAATATGCAGAAGCTCACTGACAGGTTTTATATGTTTGTGGCCTTTAACAGAAGTGAACTTTATTAATGAAAAGTAGCAAAGAATAAAGATTTTTAGTAGCTGTACAACCAAATGTGCTGGTGAATAAAGAAAAGTGAATATTTGCCACTGTTTGCCATACTTTATTTGCTTTTAGTTGACAGAGTGGTGCTATTAGATGCACAGCAGAAATCTTCTCAGTGACGCTTTCACAGTGTTGCCTACTAATTTATAATCGCTGCATGGTTTGACGCCAGCTCCTCAACATCCCGAACCTTGAGTGCCCACAATTTTATTGTCATTATATCATTAGTTTAATCTCATTTGTTTTACTGTGTGACTGCCATCTTAGTTTCTTGCTGTAAAGCACTTTGGTCAGTGGCTGTTGTTTTTTAATGTGTTCTATAAATAAATCTGACTTGACTTATACTGTGTCTGCTTAAAGCTACAATACAGTGTGTTAGAAAACTCTTTAGTAAAGGTTTTTGTGGTATTTAGACTCGACTTAAAGTGATAGCAAAATAGAAATGCATTCAAAAGCCTGTGGGACACAAATGACAGGACACAGGGTTGTAGGTGTGATTCAATATGCAACACAGTTTTATAAACACAAAGAAAAGGGAAAATAGCAAGGTAATATTAATACATCAATACATAGATGTGTTTGTGTACATTTTATTTTACTAGGGCAGCAGTGCCTTCACAGTGTTTGGTGGGCTAAGAGATCATTAACGTGTCTTGTGGTTTTAGTGGCTGCAGCATTTAACTCAGTCTCATATGAACCAGAGTGAGGTCAGACAGGAAGGTGCAATAGCTCAACACTGACGCCATATCTCTGTTTTAAACAACAGATGTAACAGGAGCAGGCTTCAGGAGCTGTGAAAGTTTCAGTGGTTTGACACTTCTAAAAAGAAAAATGGAGTCACATGTGAGCAGCGTTATCTTTTTCATAGGTACTGTATGTACGTAACTGCTGTAACTGACTTCTTACCTGGTCAGAGAAGGTGAAAGGTGGTAATTTATAGGACTTTGTGTAATTTGTGACTTATTGTCTTTTAAAATGTTGCATTCCTACCAGATACATGTGACTTGTGCTGGAATCTGTTTAGTCCATGAGCTCTGATCTTTAACCAGAGTCTGTCTTCCTGTAAAATACGACAGTATACAATGTTTGTGTGAGGACTTGTTGGTAAACAAACAACACAATGTGTACCAGGACTGTCCATATTGTGTCTGGACATAATGGTTGAACTCAGTAGCTACTTTTAAAGACGCTGTAGGCCTATGTAAGATACATTTACTGGAAATGTAACAGGCTGGATCAGAAGGAGAGAAGTGTAAGGACCCCTACTGATCTCTGGGAATTAACTGAGGGCCATTTGTCTCTGAATCAGTGTTTTGCCACTGAAGCAATGTACGATATTAAAACTGCGACAGACAGTAAAGACACTAAGTCACTCAGGGGATTTAAAAGACTTTGTGTAACTCTAGTGAGCTTAATATTATAGATAAGCTCCACATTGTACATCTCAGTAACATCCACATGTTCTGCCTCCATCAGGGGTTTCCACCATGTGCTGACTGTTGTTTCACTGTGTGTTTTACAGTGACGAGCTCATCTGCTACTGAGGGAGTGAAGAAGAACCTGACAGGCACTGAGGGATGAAATATCACTCTACCTTCAAGATTCAAGATTTTTATTTGCCATTTATACATAAACAGTCTAGGCATACAGAAATTCTTGTGCAGCTTTCTTGGAGTCAGGTAAAGAGTTAAAAGCCAGAAAAGTACGTAGGAGTGACAGAATAAAAACGCATTCAAGACACATACAAAAAATAAGATAATAGGTAATAGATGAGATGGTGAACTTCAGATACTGCACACAGTATTTCACATTGTGGAGTTGGATATGGTATTTCACTTAATGAGGTAATAAGGGGTTATTGCACATGTTTCTCACATTTTCGTAAAGGGGAAAAGCTGTTGTAAAGTCTTGTTCTGTGCTGATACTGTCCGCCCTGCTGTGCCTGAGGCTGTAGGTGCAGTTTTTGTGTCTGAGCAGAGTGTGAGCTGGGTGGTGTGGATCCCTGATTATGTTCTCTGCCATTTTATGACAGTGCTGTGTATAGTGTGTCCATAGCAGGGAGTGTTGTCCCAATGATCCTCTCTGCATGGTATTATCATGTAGGAAATGGTTAATGTACAAAAAGAGCCAAGAAATGATCATACAGTGGGTGAAAACAAAGCATGTAAAGGTCAGAGTAAAAAGTACATTAGGGTGTGTTTTGAAATATTGTCAACTTGACCCGGGATAATAAACGTGTGGTTTTTGCAGCTGTGATGCAAAATACAAGGGCAAAGATACAAGTAATTATTTTTTCAAGCTCAGACTCAGTGGCCTTGGCTCATTTTCTGTGAAGAACATATATCAGAACACATTTTCAGTGATCACACACTGCACCCCTCCACATTTACACTACATACAGGATGTTTGTAGGTCAACTTGACCCAGGATAATAAAAGTGTGGCTCTTCCAGCTGTGCTGAAAAATACAAGGGCCCTCCACATTCCACACATTCCTGCCCATTGTATCCCCCGCCCCTGTGGGTGCAACAACCATAGGACAGCCACAATAAATACAGCATTCCTACTGTGGTTCCTTAGCACAATTGATATCACAGCCGATCAAGATGGCCAAAGGAATCTCTGTTCAGAGAGTCTTACAAATTATTTTTGAAGAGAATGAGGCTTTTGACAATGTTGTAGAAGAAGAGGCCTCAGAATGTGAGGATCACATTTCCGAAAACTCAGTCTGACAATGACTTTGGAGAAGAAGATGAGATTGAGCATCAGCCATCCGCAGAGCCTGAGGTAGGTTTGTGATGTTGTTGCAGTATTTTTGTAACACTCATGCTTTGCTAGAAAGAACAGTGTTATGCGCAAAGTAAAATTCCCCCTCCTTGAACTGTTCTAGGTTGTGTGCAGCACCAGTTTGCTGGTCTTTTGACTCTGTGTGGTCAAAGTTGTCACACTGCTCAGTTTTTAATTGTTGCCTTTAGCTTTCTGGATTGTTTTTGGTTTAATTATTGTAACTTGTATGGGCTGTAATAACTGAAGATAAAAAAAAAATCATTATAAAGGTCACTTCAAAGCTCCAACAGTCATGTTATTAAGACTGACTCCTGGGGGTACTATCACAAGCTCTACAGCTCCCAAAAGTGAAATTCAGTCCTGCCAAGCAGCCCCATCACAACCAACACTGCTCGTTGCCGTGCCTCACGTCAGACACTTGTAGTAGGCAGAGGCACATTGTGATGCATTGAAGGCTTAGAGAGAATTGTGTAAGTAAAATTTACTTTCAGAAATAAATATTCAGTGCCTTACCAATTTTTCAGAGTCCCCCATTTACCTTTAGGGACAGCCAGGCAGACTGACATTAACAGACACACACACATGAAAACATCCAGACAAAAGATGAAGAAATGGAGACAGAGAGTGATAAAAGTGTGCATAAACAAATATTGAGACAAACATACAAAGAGATAAAGCCAGACAAATGAAGAGCTGCAGACAAAAGGAACTCAGTCAAGTAAGGTGGGGTTTCACAAACGGTAATACGGTACCACAGCATGAGAGTAGTCAGTTGGTTAGAAACTAACTGGAGCTGGATCTGAGGCTTGTTGCATACAAACCAGTTTCTATTCAAGAATTTGAATCTTTTCCTAACAAACATTTGTAACATATCTCCAGTTCTTTGCTAGGCCAAGAGCTCCTTCTGGGCAACCGTGTCAGGAGAGCCCTTGTGCAACTCTGTGGTTAGATCCCAAAATCCAAACAGTCTTGAATACTTCAAAATAGCTGTTTGAAGTATAAGTTTTTTGAGCATTTGCAGCCAAGGCCCCTCACCTCTGGTGCTCCTTCCCTAAAGGGCCAAGACTTCCAGAATCAGTGACTTCTATCAAATCGCTTCAATGTTTTATACTATTAGCATACACTTTTGATAATCACCTTTATTGGCAAAGTATGTTACACACAAGGAATTTGTTTCCGGTTCAGAACCGATGGCAGCCATCTGCGGCGCCAACTCAACCGATGGCTCTAACCATTGCCCAAGGACACTTTGACATGTGGACTGCAGGTACTGAGATTCAAACCTTCAGGGGTTGGGAGATGACTGCTCTACCCACCACACCACTGTCACCTCCCCTAAAGGTGAAGCAGGTTCAAACCTGCACAGAGAGACCCATTGGATTTCAAGTCCAACGCCTTAACCACTCGACCATCACAGCCACTGTGAAAAGAAATTGTTCAGCAGAGGTGACATGAACCTACACTACTGGAGATCGATGAAGTATCGGCAGTATTGTTTTCTGTTCTTGCTAACATTTTCTACTGTCTTGATCTAATAACAGGGTTATGTTTCTAATTTTATATAATTTCATTTTAAAGCTTTTAGTAATATTAGTTCCTATCTATTTAAAAATGTATTGAGTTACTGTGTAATTGTCTGAGTTTTAAACTACTCAAAATGATCAGGACCAGAAGTGTTTACTTCCGATGTGTGTTAAATAAAGAAGAGAAGAGAACAGCTACAACTGCCCTAAGGTTGGCGCCACAGCTTAAGAAAATTCTGGCCTTCCGAACTCTTACATCTCCTGTAGGATGAGCTCATTTAACTTCTACTCAACTAGACATGTCACAACTAGACATCTGCTGAGTTTCTGAATGCTGTTCAGAGGTGGTGGGCTGCTGGGAGGATATGGTGCCCATAATTTCTGACAAGAGACTTTTTTGACAACAAACAGGCTGCTGTTCACTGTTCTGTGAGACGCTCTGATGTCACCACACCCTTAATATTGTACATCCATGCAATTAAAACAGTATCAAGAAATGTTATCACATGTAACCAGTGACGTGCGGTCAGGGGAGGCAGGTGAGGCAGAGCCTCCCCTGTCAATCTTGAAAAGAAAAAAAGTTAACCATAAAATATAATAAATGTTAATATTTGTCGGCTGGTGTGTGTTGTATGCCCTTTTGCTGTTCGAATCTGATGTTTAAGGATTTTTTTTTTTTCAATAAAGAACAGCAGAATTTCCGTATGTCCCGTTCAAATACATGAAGGAGATGCGCGATGAGGCAGCACTTTGCTGTGCCTCTTGGTGGATCGTGTAATCCTCACAAACTGTATGCGATGCAAATAGTGTGTCGCTGTCCCTCTATATATCGCAAATAAAATGCTTTCAAACACTCTGATTATATGCTCTGCCTTGCCAAAATCTGGATAATGTATAAAATGTAGTTCTGTAACGTGTTTAGGCTGCAGATTAACCATAAAACCCAGTAAAAAAGTTACTCGGTGAGGCAAACAGTACGTCTCACCAGCTGTCAACCTCACCGCACGTCACTGGATGAGAGTAGGCCTGCCTACCAAACACAGGAGGATTTCGTGTACAAGTAAAGGTAAGACCATAAACTTTTATTATTTCTAGTTAGAAATAAGCTCAATTGGAATAAACTTTAACCTCAAATAAAAAAATGGGTCACGTTTGTGTGAAGAATGCTGATATGAGATATAAAACATAACGCATTGTTTGTTAACAGACAATTTGTTAACAGTTCATTTGCATTTGTAAATCTGACTGCAAAAGAGTCAGTGCCTCACCAGCTGTCAACCTCACCGCACGTCACTGCATGTAACAGAAGTAACAATAACTATAATATAACACTGCAATAACAATCTAAGTTTACCATCTGCTAATTATGCCAATATAAAAAGGTAAGTTTGTATAAAGGAATAAAACACACAAACAATTCACACGAAATGATAGACTATAACTTTTTACATGTATAAATGCCCTGACAGTAGGCATTTTTCTTTCACCTGTTGCCTTACTGTTAACCAAAGAATGTTATATGTAAAAATATGAACAATTCAGTCTACATATATCAAACTGTGGGGAAATGATAAGAACAAAGAAGCTTTATGGACAGCTCATATGTTGAGAAACATTATTGAAGGTATTGTTAAATGAAATATTCCAGTGAATAAGTACATGTTTTTCAACTTTTGCAAGTTTGTTATTTAGATTTGTAATTTTTAATACTCCCTGTAGTTTTGTCTTTTGTGATGTGATGTTGCTCTGGTTCAAATAAAGGTTGGAAAAAACTGGGGAAATGTCATTAAGAATGAAAAACCAGGAAGCCTGGCACGCTCAGCTCATTCATGCTGCACCTCTCCCCTCTTCCACCCACCGGAGCAGACACCGAGAGGCACGTTGTCTCGTCCTCTAGAGAAAGAACTCTGTCCAAAAAGTCGCTAGTTTGTCACTAGTCACCTTTTTGAATAATAGGGGTCTTAAATCTAGTGTCAAAGGAAGCTGAAAACGCTGCGTTTCCAGCGTTGCGCTCTTTTAATATTTTGAGCCTCTTCGCCTTCCGTAATGAAAGATGCTCGGCTTGTTTGTTCACCTCTGGTTACTCCTCGTATCTGTTAAAGCTCATAGGCTGGTGGGTGGTCAGTGGAGTCGGACCATGGGCGGAATTAGAGGAAATTCTGAACTGGTTGGAGACCTAGTTCTGGTGCCATCGTTTTCTACAGTCGCTGTCTCTGGTCAGACATGGAGAGAGTCGTCATTGTGACCGGTGCCAACAGGTAGGACCACTGACACCGCGTTAAAATTGCAATTCATTGACACTCGGTTTGTTACGTTGGTACACGTTGGACTGTTATAACTAATACTGAAACATTAGTTGAGGCAAAAGCAAGAATATATAGCCTATGACAAGTACAATACAATTTCAGAAACGTAACAAAATGAGTATTGCGCACTTTGTCCTCAGTTTGAAACCCAACTGATAAAACGACCAGATGAGCTTCATGACTGAAGTATTGGTATATTGGCTGGTGTTGATGTATTTCAACAAGTAACAAGAATTTATTTTACAGAAATTCCAAAAATGCACAGTATATTAGTATATGATTCACGTATGTATTATAAAACACTGACCTTAGTTTTTATAGTTTGAAATTTAGATGCAAACAAATGTTTCCATTCTCCCTTCAGTGGTTAGCTTTATTATTATTATTTATCCAGTATTGTTATTTCAAGATAGTGATCAGTTAGCTCCTGTGGGACAGTGCATTTGCATGTGTGCACGACTGTGTTTGTCTGCCTCTCTGCAGCGGCATCGGCTTGGCCCTGTGTGAGAGGCTGCTGACTGAGGACAGCCAGCTTCGACTGTGTCTGGCCTGCAGAAACATGCAGCGGGCTGAGGCCGCCCGCGCCACCCTGCTGACCTCGCACACCAGTGCCCATGTTGACTTATTACACCTTGATGTGGGCTCTGTACAGTCAGTACTGAGTGCAGCTCAGGAGGTTAAGACCAGGTAGGAGACTGCTGATACACTGTCCTCATGAGACTGCGTTTCAGCCCCTTGTTCTCTAAACTGTTACAGTATGCATGTGGAATCGGAGACGATTTGATGAATGTTTGTTTTTCCACAGATACAAGAGAATTGACTTTCTGTATCTAAATGCAGGAATTATGCCTAATCCACAAGTGAATGTCAGAGCTTTTTTCAAGGGGTTGTTCTCCAGGTAAACATTCCAAGCCAGCTCATGACTCATTTGATGTTGACTTAAAGTTACATAAATGTCAAAGATGACCATTGTCTGTACTGTACCCTCTTACTGCAGGAATGTCATCAACATGTTCGTGACAGCAGAGGGTCTCTTAACTCAACAGGACTGCATTAACTCAGACGGTCTGCAGGAAGTTTTTGCCACCAACCTGTTTGGTCATTTTCTCATGGTACTGTATTCCACAGACTGTACGCTTACATGAAATAAAACTGAATTACAAATCCCATAATTTTACATATTGTAGTCTTTGTTGAACCATGCAATGTAATTATGCAGACTAGTATACAACAAAACTGAGTGCTGAGTTTTGTTGCAGTTGGTATTTAAATTATTATTAATTATTTTAATTGATTATTTTTCAAATCATTTGACTTCATTCTTCTTGGGCTTTGTCTAAAAATCAAATTGCAAAATTTCATATACTGTTTTTGTGATATTAATGTAGTCAGTTTTCTCATATTTGTCAAAAATGAAAAGGCAGAAGAACCTATAGTTGAGTTAAAAGGGGAAACAACACATTAATTTGTTTGACGTATAAAGTCAAATGAATATACAGTGCCTTGCGAAAGTATTCGGCCCCCTTGAACTTTGCGACCTTTTGCCACATTTCAGGCTTCAAACATAAAGATATAAAACTGTAATTTTTTGTGAAGAATCAACAACAAGTGGGACACAATCATGAAGTGGAACGAAATTTATTGGATATTTCAAACTTTTTTAACAAATAAAAAACTGAATAATTGGGCGTGCAAAATTATTCAGCCCCTTTACTTTCAGTGCAGCAAACTCTCTCCAGAAGTTCAGTGAGGATCTCTGAATGATCCAATGTTGACCTAAATGACTAATGATGATAAATAGAATCCACCTGTGTGTAATCAAGTCTCCGTATAAATGCACCTGCACTGTGATAGTCTCAGAGGTCTGTTTAAAGCGCAGAGAGCATCATGAAGAACAAGGAACACACCAGGCAGGTCCGAGATACTGTTGTGGAGAAGTTTAAAGCCGGATTTGGATACAAAAAGATTTCCCAAGCTTTAAACATCCCAAGGAGCACTGTGCAAGCGATAATATTGAAATGGAAGGAGTATCAGACCACTGCAAATCTACCAAGACCTGGCCGTCCCTCTAAACTTTCAGCTCATACAAGGAGAAGACTGATCAGAGATGCAGCCAAGAGGCCCATGATCACTCTGGATGAACTGCAGAGATCTACAGCTGAGGTGGGAGACTCTGTCCATAGGACAACAATCAGTCGTATACTGCACAAATCTGGCCTTTATGGAAGAGTGGCAAGAAGAAAGCCATTTCTTAAAGATATCCATAAAAAGTGTCGTTTAAAGTTTGCCACAAGCCACCTGGGAGACGCACCAAACATGTGGAAGAAGGTGCTCTGGTCAGATGAAACCAAAATCGAACTTTTTGGCAACAATGCAAAATGTTATGTTTGGCGTAAAAGCAACACAGCTCATCACCTTGAACACACCATCCCCACTGTCAAACATGGTGGTGGCAGCATCCTGGTTTGGGCCTGCTTTTCTTCAGCAGGGGCAGGGAAGATGGTTAAAATTGATGGGAAGATGGATGGAGCCAAATACAGGACCATTCTGGAAGGAAACCTGATGGAGTCTGCAACAGACCTGAGACTGGGACGGAGATTTGTCTTCCAACAAGACAATGATCCAAAACATAAAGCCAAATCTACAATGGAATGGTTCACAAATAAACATATCCAGGTGTTAGAATGGCCAAGTCAAAGTCCAGACCTGAATCCAATCGAGAATCTGTGGAAAGAACTGAAAACTGCTGTTCACAAACGCTCTCTATCCAACCTCACTGAGCTCGAGCTGTTTTGCAAGGCGGAATGGGCAAAAATTTCAGTCTCTTGATGTGCAAAACTGATAGAGACATACCCCAAGTGACTTACAGCTGTAATCGCAGCAAAAGGTGGCGCTACAAAGTATTAACTTAAGGGGGCTGAATAATTTTGCACGCCCAATTTTTCAGTGTTTTATTTGTTAAAACGTTTGAAATATCCAATAAATTTCGTTCCACTTCATGATTGTGTCCCACTTGTTGTTGATTCTTCACAACAAATTACAGTTTTATATCTTTATGTTTGAAGCCTGAAATGTGGCAAAAGGTCGCAAAGTTCAAGGGGGCCGAATACTTTCGCAAGGCACTGTATGCTATGAAGAAATATTTTTGATGATTAGTTTCAAGTCATGTGTTTGCTGTGATTTTTGATTTTATAAAATGTCCTTTCATCAGTAGGTTACTCTATCATACATTCATAAAATTTGTCTGTAGAATATAATGGCACAGCTGTTATAATGCATAATGTTTTAAGAGGACTTAATGTTTTAATCTAGCCCCCATCTCTTCTGGTGGAAGTAATAGCCATGTACTGTCCCTGTTCTCTTGTCAGTTGTACTGTGATGTGATATTTGTGTGTCTGCATTCCAGATCAGGGAGCTGGAGCCTCTGCTGTGTCAGGCAGGTCACATGTCCAGGTTGGTGTGGACGTCCTCAAGTAATGCCTGCCGTTCAGTCTTCAGCATCGAGGACATGCAGCACAGAAACGGGAAAGAGCCCTACAGCTCCTCAAAGTATGCTTCAGACATGCTCAGCGTGGCGCTCAACCGACACATGAACAGCCAGGTTTGTTGGTCACACACTCGTGGTACAGTAATGACACCTACATGCTAACATTTTAGTAAATGGTCTTATACTTGTATAGCGCTTGTCTATGCATTGCAGCCCAGTCAAAGCACTTTCACACTATTTGCCCATTCACACTCCCAAGCACTCACACATGGCATCACCGAGAGCAATTGGGGGTTCGGTGTCTTGCTCAAGGACTCTGTGACATGTGGACCGGAGAAACTGGGAATCGAACCACCAACTTTCCGGTTAGGAGATGACCCACTCTGCCTCCTACAGCCACAGCTCCCCCTCTTTGCAAATTGTTGTTCCTATAGTCTTCTTTACCATTGGCAATTACAGACAATAAAGACAATTGAATGAACTAATTAATAATCTTTATTGTCATTATGCATAAGTACAATACATTTTCATCTGGCGTCTCTCAGTGTAGTTAAATAAAACTAATAGGAGAGATGCACTAGCAAGACTCGAATAACTCAGTAGTGAATCAGCAGATATACAGTAGCTTTGTTCTGAACTAGGCATGTAAAGGTTACACACATTTATACCAAACCATTTCAGTAAAGGTCTTTTGTTTTGGGGCAAATGTGTACAAAATACAGTCTAATAGTAGTTAAGTTAACATTTTTTCAAATCTGCGTTCCCACACAAACCAGGGGCGGATTTAGAGAATTCTGGACGGGGTGGCCTGGCTGGGGCACAGAGAGGAGTGGCACATTTGAAATACATGTAAAAAGTAAATTGAACCCCTAGTTCTTTGAAATAATAAACAATACATTATTAAGACTCATTGTTTAATTAGTGGAAACATGACCCCACCACCACCATCATTAATATTAACAAACATCACATTTTGACTCTGGCAGGGGTGGCCAATCAGATTCTGGGGGCCACTGGTGGGGGTGATCCCTGGCCAGCCCCCTTGCTCTACCCATTGCAGCAGTATTCTATTTTTTATTCTATTTTATTTTATTTTTTTACATATTTTACTTATATTTAATTTAAAATCGTATGTAAAATAATTAGAAACTGTTGATGTTTATAATAAATGACAAGCAATTTTATCACCAATATTTTTTCCTTACTGTAATGAAAACAAACCGTGGCGTCAGAACTGAGGTGGTGATTTTTTGCATACTGTTACACCTGTAATCTGATCTGATAAGCATGAGGGAAATTGGAGGGGAACTATCCACTGGTTTTGGCCATGACAAACCAAGATCCACCTTGTGTTTCAGTCAGAGGGCTCACTCTATAATCAGATGACTCTGCACACATCTCATCTCTGAAGCAAAACCCAAGCTCTCACCTTCTGTCTCCCTCTGTTCTGACCTGAATGGCATGAATTTAATAGACACAGCCACTGTTAATGCTGTGGAACGGGCCCTAGCTAAAAGGGAAAAAATTGACCTTTTCACTGTCTCCTTTTAAAGCTAGGTTGAAAAACATGGTGCACATCTTTTCATTAAACATTAATCTGATATATTAAATGCTTTTCTCTTTGTGACAGGGGCTGTTCTCCACTGTAACATGTCCAGGAGTGGTGATGACTAATCTGACCTATGGTATCCTGCCCTCATTCTTCTGGACTTTCATCATGCCCATCATGTGGCTGGTCAGTGGTTACCAATTGATTGATTGATTTACTTTATTAATTGCAACAAAATTCTCTCTCATCTGTATCAAACATTATTAGAGTTATCTATATCCTCTTGTGCCCAACAGATTAGGACCTTCACGAACACATTCACACTTAAACCATACAACGGAGCAGAGGCACTGGTATGTTGTCAGCCTGTGCTCTTTTACTGTCCATATGGGAAAAAAACATGTTAGGGTTTTATGTTTCTACAACAAAAATGTTATAAACATGGATTCTTGCTCTGGTCTTTCACAGCACTGGCTGTTTTTTCAAAACCCAGAGTCTCTGGATCCAAGAGCGAAGTATCACAGTTTAACATCTGGATTTGGAAGGAACTACACTCAGCCTCGACAAGTGAGTGACTAGAGACCATGCTGCTCATGTCTGTTCTAGGGTGTCAAGCTGGAAAATCTGGGAAGGTCGTGTGATATGCTGCTGTGATTCATTCAGATTTTCTGTATATTTGCATTTCAGATGGATATCGATGATGAAATGTCCGATGTCCTTTACGAGAAACTTCTTGAACTCGAGAAAGTAGTTCGAAGGAAACTGAATGAGCAAAATGCAAATAACAAAGCTCAATAGATATGGGTCTGTTAGAATGGAATTTTTTTTTAAAGTATTACATTTTTCTCTGATGCAGCATTGTTGACACAGCCATTAATGATCTTCTCATCTTATTTCAGAAAACTTTGTGGGACAATGTTCCCATCGCACAGCAGCACTGTCAGCATCAGAGTGCAAATTTAAAGAAACATTTTATTCCTTCTCATATGCCCATTCTGGATTACAACACTTAAGAATGATATTTATTTTTGTTAATTATTTGAATTAAACCCAGTGATAGACTGGCAGCCTGTCCAGGGTGCACCCCGCCTCTCACCCAGTGTAAGGCGGGATTGGTTCCAGCCCCCTGCCACCCTATTCAGGAATAAGCGGTATAGATAGTGGATGGGTGGATGTATTTGAATTAATTTGCATGCTTTATAATAAAAGGAAAAATGTAACCCCCCAAGGCAAGTCATTGTTGGTTTTAGTCTCTCTTTGGGGAGTGTTGAAAATTCTGTTAATAAAGAAAATGACTGTCCTTGTCCTTTAAGTGGAAATCATTGATAGAGTGGCCAGGGTGCAAAGGGTCAGCCATAATTTTCATCTCCCTCCCTCCTCATCCTAGGTTGAGTATAGATCCTCAAGGGAGGGAAGCTGGTACCCGGTTTTCTCTGCACATTGTTATATGATTATATATCACAGCACTTTCTTATGGTAAGGATTATTCATGCTTCTCAATAAAACATTGACCTCGATCTTTAACTCTCTCCCAGTCTTAAGAATACTCGTCATTTAAATTCTGTCATCACAGTTCTTTTCTTAGAGAAGTAGCATTTTAAAGCCAGGGTCAAAACACAGCCTGCTCCTATTGTTTTGAAGAGGTGGCATTTTCTACACCATCAAGGCCGGGACACAGGCTTTCCAGTAAACATACATATACACACACACACACACACACACACACACACACTGAGAGTCTGCGTGTTAACATGGCTCCTTAAATATGAGGAAAAGTGACTGAGCAAGTTATTTGATCCACATAAACATGCTAATGAGATCTATCATTGTGAATGTTGTAAAAAAAAAAGTTTCCACATTCTCTTATGCACAAGCTTTGGTTCAGTGTTGTGCTCTTAAATTTGTAATCAAACTGCAGTATCAGCTGTATCACGTTTCCTATGCAACAGGCTTTGTACTTCACAAATATTAACTAGCTGTTTGTTTATAGCCTGGTTCCCTAAGGCTGACGATGAACACTACCACTAGCTGTCATCTGTGGCTCATTTCACCACAAATAATACATTATGATTTAACTGTGGGGGAGTGGGTTAGTTGTATTTGTACTCCTTTAAGCTAAACAAAATGTGTAGTGAGTTACACAGGCTAAATGCGCATTTGTTTCGCAGACTTTACAGCATCGTGCGTTTTTATAAAGCAGAGCCTGGTTTTCGGCAGCCACAGAGTTCGCCAGCTTAATGTGAGGGTATTGAAAGCTTCCCTTGCATGTGACGGCCTCTTGGATATTAAAACTCGGATTATTCTAGGAGGACATGCAAGCAGTTCATTACATGATGTAAATAAAAACATTGGTGAGCGGCGCGCTGCTCGATGTCCCGGATGCTGTTCGCACCGGAAGAGAAGGGGTAGCTCTCCCAGCCATCTTGTGGCAGTATCCAGCGACTTGTTCGCATCAAGCCTCGTAGAATCGGAGGTGAATCCCGCAGAAGGGGCGCCATCATGCCCGGACACCTGCAAGAAGGCTTCGGCTGCGTCGTAACCAACCGGTTCGACCAGTTATTGGACGATGAGTCCGACCCGTTCGAGATCCTGAAAGCTGCTGAAAACAAGAAGAAGGAGGGGGCCGCCGCTGGATCCACCAAGACCGCGGCTCAAGCCGCCAAGCAGCTGAAAAAGGAGTCCCAGAAGGACAGGAAGAACCCACTGCTGGACAAGAAGGAAGAGCCCCAGGCTCCGGTCCCCCTGAAGAAAGAAGGTAAATGTACCACCTGCTCTCTAGCCTATGTGCAGTGCATGTTCATTTTCGTCTGTTTGCTATCAGCTGTCATGTGCAGCTCCTGTTAGCTAGGCTAGCTGCTGCTGCTGCTGCTCTGAGCACAACAGCGAGAGGTCAACACGACTCCGGTTAACCAGCTAACTGGAGCTCAGGTGTAAACCACCAGCGAGGTACCGTGCCAACCTGCAAGCATGTGTCGCAGAGACTGTTTCCACTAGCACCCGACAGGAAGGTGTAGTGTTAGGTTACTGTCGGATGATGCTACGCAGCTTTCTATGCGAAGCAAATGTGCAGGATATTCACCTGCGTGTTGGAACAAATAGACAAGTCTCTCTTTGTTTAGATATGTTATGTCTCCTCAGTGCATTCTGTATTTTCCGTCTTAGTGGGCCTAAAATGTAGAACCGAATTCATCAGACGAGGCCCACTATGATAGCTGCATTAATGGTTGCAGTGAAACTAACTGCTGTTATCGAAGCTGCTGGCAGGCAATAACTTGGACCAGGAGCTTCAACTCCTGAGGCAGTTTGCACGTTCCTGCGAGCACATAGTGTAAAACAATGTGTTGACATTTATGCAGGCACAACTGAATATACTGTATCAAATGTAACACTCCTAGAGCTTACTGGACTTGCTTTATGCTCTTGTGACTTGCAGGTATAAGGCGGGTGGGCCGAAGACCAGACCAGCAGGGCCAGCCTGGATCCCAGCACCAGGCTGGGCAGGGTGAAGGGCGACCTGGAGACAAGAGGCAGGACCGAAGACCTCCTAGAGAGCGTCGCTTCGAAAAGCCCGCTGAGGACAAGCCTGAGGGAGGTGGAGAGTTCTCCACAGACAAGTGGGTAGCCACAAAGAACATATTTAAACATGCTGATAAGGCCAAGGCTGTCTGGTGCTGATATAATATTAGCTCACTTCATCTCACCATCATAGCGTGGCCATCTGTAAATTGCTTTGACATTAATCTCAACACTACTGACCTTAATAGCATGTGTGTGTAGATGATAACTGTTTATGTGACTTGTTTATTTGTGTCCATCAGACCTTCTGGAGACAGGCCACTGAGAGGGCGTGGTGGCGGCCGGGGTGGGCGTGGTGGAAGAGGACGGGGTATGGGCCGCGGAGATGGCTTCGACTCCCGCAGGAAACGAGACTTTGACAGACACAGCGGCAGTGATAAATCGTGAGTCGGCACCGAACTGAGACCGTAACACACCAGTGAATCCGTGACCACTTCCCAACACAGCCCATTGTTGAAACTGTTATCGTCATGAGCTCTTTAACTGCTGCAGGTTGTGTTTAATGTTGGTGATGAAACTAAGACCTCAGTGTTTCTAAATGATGTCTCAGAATAGGATCACTTGTATCCCTTTTTGTCCTTCCCAGGTTATGTACACTAATCTACTGTTTTCCTTTCTTTTGGCTTCAGCAATCAGAAGACTGAGGAGAAGCGCAGCGGCAGCGGCACACACAACTGGGGCAACGTGAAGGATGAAGTGACGTGAGTTTTCATGAAGAGACGCGGCCTGTTTATCTGAGTGGTATGATGACACATCTGATATGTGGCCAGACTTCACATACTGCACAGCCTATTTTAATTAACAGAACGTGTCGGAATACCATCTCTTACAATAAAAACATGCACATGCAACCCTGAATATAATCACTGTGAATTGTTTCTGCATCAGTTTTAGCTTTATCGTGAGTAACAGCTTTACATAAAATGAGTGCATCAAACGTGAGTCTTCCTGTATCAGTTGTACTACTTGTAGTTAAAGATAATGTTTGATATGTTTATCTATCAACAAAAGAGTCTTTAAGGGATGTGAAATCTCAAGGCTTTTTCAGTTATAAATCGCTGAAACTGTACAAACTAAATAAGTCAGCTGTGTGTCTTTGTTCCCAGTGAGGCTGAACAGACCGCCGCTCCTGAGACGACCCCAGAGGGGGAGGAGAACATGCCTGCCAGCTCTGAGAACAAGTGAGTGTCCACTTCCTGTCAGCGAGCATTTGGACATTCATTCTGAAGCAATATCAGCGCATTATGATGTTTTCCTTCAGATTTTTTTTCGAAGCTGTTCTGCGTCACAAACAGTATGTCAACATGTGCATTTTTGTCCCTTTAGTGCAAATAGGATAAACACTGTTGGTGTCTTTTAGACCTCAGGATTAGAGAGCATGTACTGGGCTAAGAGGATCGGCAGCGTGAGGTTTTAGTTCCCTGTATTGTTTTGTGCTGGCTCTCCAGGGAGAACGAGGTTGACGAGGTGAAAAGCGAAGGCCCCAGAGAGATGACCCTGGACGAGTGGAAGGCCATGCAGGACAAGGAGCGCACCAAGGTGGAGTTTAACATCCGGAAGCCCAACGAAGGAGCCGACAGCCAGTGGAAGAAAGGATATGTGCTGCACAAGTCCAAGAGTGAGGATGTAAGTATGACTGATACATTTTAAGGTTTTTGATTTTGTTTTGTTTAGTTTTTTTTGGTGTTGTACAGCCGACATGCAGCTTCCAGACCCAGTTGTGTTGTTGCCTTTTTAAGAAAAGGAACGAGCTGTTAAAGCTCAACAGCGGGGAGGCTTTGCTGTATTCTTCCTTAGCTGATGAATTTAAATAAACTGATCACAGACCTCACTGTGATGCTAGTACCATAATTGCAGGCGCACATGCTCGGGTTGCTGTGAAGGTCACTTTGTGTTTCTCACAAGCTGATATGACGTTACATCTGTAAATAACACTGTGCTGATATTTCTTGTGGTTCATTTTCAGAGGCCTGTCGGTGCTTTGATTGACGCCCCAGAGATGGAACCGGAATCTCACGCTCTGTACAAGGTGCCTGCAGCTCTGTTTTATTAGAAGTTTTTTTTACTCCACACACACACACACAACGTTCAATGTGTATAAAACCACCAGTTCGACAGTGGTGACTGGTCTAATGCACTTTTACATACATAGAATAGTCTATTCATTTTTATTTTGTGTGGTTTCACAGGAAATTAAGACAGGGTAGTAAGCGGTGCATAGTGAAAGTATCACAAAGAATGCATGTGTGCACTCCTTCATGAGTGATTTAGAGACCAAGCCCTCGGTCCAGACCACAGTTGACCTCTGTTCCTACCAACAGGGCACCATTGACGAGTCCAGTGACCACCACTTCCGCAAACCAGCCAACGACATCACATCTCAGCTGGAGATCAACTTTGGAGACCTAGGTCGCCCCGGCCGCGGGCGCGGTGGAGCGCGTGGAGGCAGAGGAGGCCGTGGGGCAGGAGGCAGCAGGACAGCACGAGGGGGAGGACGGTCTGAAAAGGTAACAATAGCAGCTGTTGTCGTCAGCAACAAAGGTTTTGTGTGTCTCTCAAAGGTCTGAGCTGTAAAACCACTGACTTGGAAAACCTGCTGTGGAGCACTGGGGCCCCAGAATAGCAGCCCAGTGGACGTGTTGGTCATGAGGTGCAGGGTCGGGGAGGGTTCACCAGCTAATCTCTAAATCTGACTTTTATTTGGCGCCTGGCAGGAAGTGTATAAATATATCTGAGATTTTTTACTGAAAACGACACGGAGTGAACCAAAACATTACCAAACCAATGAGCTGATGGTCATAAAACACTGCAGACTGCCTGATAATTCTCTCCGATTCATCAATATGAGCATCACATTTCATGTACATGTAGTAATATGATCCATTGTTAATATACAGATATTGATTATATCAGCTTTCATATAAAAACTCTTAACCTTGTTGTGGTTCTTGTGCATCTCCTGTCCAGGCTAGTGGAGCGTCAGTCCCCAACGTGGATGATCCGGAGGCCTTCCCGGCCCTGGCCTAAAGGATCCTTTTCCACCACCAGCCCACCCATCAGCCCTTCCGGGCCCCTCCTCTACGAGGCTTGCATGCTTACCACATCTTCAAGTATATAAAAATAAAAAAAAAAAGGAAAAAAAGGTTTTAATGACATAAAAAGACCGTCATCCCATACAGTCACACCACCACAGGACTAAATTTTACCAGTTTTAAAGGAGAACAAAAGACAACAAAGGAGGGAAAAAGGACCTCTTGTTACACTGAAGTTTTGTATTTAGGAACATGAAAGCAGGGATGTTTTCATATATTTTTTTTTCTCAGAGATTATGCGTACTACATTGATATTTTTTGTGCTGCTTGAATTTATGCATTTCTGCGATTAGGTTGAAGTGTGTGCATCTCTTCCTCTGAAGCTTTTGTGCTTTTCTCCTCATGACTTCAGCTCAGTATTATGGGGTCATGTTAGAATTTCTACTGGAGTCCCCCCCACACACAAGTAAGTAAAACACACTGATGTGGTAGCCCTACACTACATAGGAAACTTGTACTAGGTATCTGAAGTATGGCTTTACATACATTTTAAAGTGTAATTACTCAGATCCTGACTACCAATCCCTTTGTGAGGCACATGTTCAGGCTGGGTAGCCAGGAAATGCAGCTTCCTTCTAAAGCTTGGTATTTTTCTGCTTGTTGTGCAGTGAAAGTAAACATCTCCTTTCCTTTTTTTGCTCTTTTGATGGACCAGTGGTTAGTAATGCTTTGTATCACCTGATCCAGATGTGCTACCTGTGGTTTCAGGGTGTCCCAGGGCCCAATGTTTGTCTTTAGGCTGGTCCTCTTAGGTCATACAGAGTGGACTTCTTCTAATTTCAGGACCACTAAGAAATTTTTTTATTTTTATTTTTTGTTAAAGGTGTGTGTTTGTGTGTGTGCACGCAGCAAAGCGTGAGGCAGAATATGTGAATTTGACAGCTAGTTGTGTAGAATTTCACTGCTATGAATTTCCTCTGCTATGAACTTGCCCTTCTGAAACAGTAGACTGCAGGTTCATGTATGATGTAGTAGTTACTGTCTCTTGGGAAGTGATTGCTAAAATCTAGGTGTTCATGTATGATGTAGTAGTTACTGTCTCTTGGGAAGTGATTGCTAAAATCTAGGTGAGAACCACAGGTCATGAACATATCTTGCTCTTAGAGTATTTGTTAAGTCTTTCAGGTCTGAAAGTGCTTGTTTTTATCAGCACCAGTCCTCCGACCATTGTTTGCCCTCCCCTTCTTTAACCACGTTTGCTCTTCCTTTTTATTTTATTTTGATCTTATCAGCGCAGCAGCACCAGTGCATAATTTGTCTGAAAGAAATGTAGGGTGTCAGTGTGGAACAATCATGAGCCACAGAATGTAATGTAAGCTAATGATGCTTTTAGCCACCTGTGTCAGCATTTCCAGTGAGCATTTTCTTTAAGTGAAGTGGGTGTATTTTACATTGGGGTGTGGTGAAGGGGTTCTATTGAAGACAGGATGGAGTGAATTTAAAGCTTTACAGGCTGTGCTCTGCAAAGACTTACTGGTGATGCACTGATACACATGGCTGGAGCAGTTTTTATTATTATTTTTAATTTTTTTGTAGGACAGTTTGAGCCATGTGACAGTGAAACTTTTTCTGCAAACATCCCTGTTCTAATAAATTGCTTTAGAGGCGTTACATGTATCCTGCCGATGACTGTTGGGTTGTTTAAATACTGTGATTTTAGAGGTGTGAACAAACATAATGGGCTCTTTGTTGTAAACGCAACAAGGCTATGGTGTGTCCCAGAGCTACAGCATTCCCTGTTCATTCTATTTAGACTTGCAGTAAGTGGGATGTGATCAATCAAGTGTTTTTGTAGTTGCCCATTTATTAGGTACAACTAATGCACTTCAGTACAGCAGCCCTGCAATAAATCTTACTTTGTGATGGTTATAATGTTGACTAGCACCTAATGGTTAATGAAGCAACGCCCCTGAGCTGAACACCTATTTAGGTCAATATAATTTGGTTATGTTATAGTCTCATTGTTATAGCTTGGTGGTTGTCATTTGTAAATTTTGAGTCAATACAGTCACATACTCATTTAAAGTCTTTAAATACTTAAAGGTATAATTATTAACTGAAGGAAGGTGGATAATGTCACATTGAACAATCTCAAACATGAAAATGTCTTAAATGTAAAACTATATAGTGTAGTTGTGTAGATAATATTTAAAAATTTCCAACTACATTCAACAAACCATAATGAAAAAGTGAAAAACATTTTTGCAAATGAGAAATCAAAATTGAAACCTCATTGCTGCGGCATGGTCTGTGCTCTTCTGGCTGAAATCTTTGTTATTAAGGGAAACCACATCTCTCTCTTCCTGCCATGTTTGACCGCAGAAAGAATGGGCAGATAAACAAAAAGCTACGGTGTCTGTCCAGCTGTTCAGACCGTCTGGTCCACCACAACTTGACTTGCGTGAGCCAAAGTGCACCAGAGACAGAACCGTCCTACATCGACCACCCATTCCCCACTTTCATCTCTATAGAAACTGACCATAGTGGTTTTCTGTCACTTTCTCACACAGCATGCAGCACACTGTCTATATGTTTTGGCACCCACTGTTCCATGTGTGGAAGGTTAGAGCTTTCACAGACTGTTACCTTTGTAATTTCATAGAAACCGACATGTTTGTAGTGAAAGTTAAGTTCCCACATATGCTGTCTGCTCAGTATGCTTAATGTTCTTATTATCTATGCATTTGTACTGTCTAACCTTGTTCCCTTCTTCTGGACAGTCCTCCCAAAACAGTTCTGTTTCTGACACTCCACACAGATTTAGTCTCTATACACACATTTACATACCCCCTACACACACAGACCCAGTCTATTGACGCACATAGCCTGGTTTCCACAGGGCCCGACTTTCTGCCCAGCTGACTGACTAGGAGATACGTACTATATACATGCTGGACAAGGAATTGGCCAAACGCTGATAAGCGCTGATCTCATTACGGCAGTACTCTTGGTAATTGGTTTTGGGATTACTACGTACAGTGGGTACGGAAAGTATTCAGACCCCCTTAAATTTTTCACTCTTTGTTATATTGCAGCCATATGCTAAAATCATTTAAGTTCATTTTTTTCCTCATTAATGTACACACAGCACCCCATATTGACAGAAAAACACAGAATTTTTGACATTTTTGCAGATTTATTAAAAAAGAAAAACTGAAATATCACATGGTCATAAGTATTCAGACCCTTTGCTCAGTATTTAGTAGAAGCACCCCTTTGAGCTAATACAGCCATGAGTCTTTTTAGGAATGATGCAACAAGTTTTTCACACCTGCATTTGGGGATACTCTGCCATTCCTCCTTGCAGATCCTCTCCAGTTCTGTCAGGTTGGATGGTAAACATTGGTTGACATTTTCAGGTCTCTCCAGAGATGCTAAATTGGGTTTAAGCCAGGGCTCTGGCTGGGCCATTCAAGAACAGTCACGGAGTTGTTGGGAAGCCACTCCGTTATTTTAGCTGTGTGCTTAGGGCCATTGTCTTGTTGGAAGGTGAACCTTCGGCCCAGTCTGAGGTCCTGAGCACTCTGGAGAAGGTTTTCGTCCAAGATATCCCTGTACTTGGCCGCATTCACCCTTCCCTCGATTGCAACCAGTCGTCCGGTCCCTGCAGCTGAAAAACACCCCCATAGCATGATGCTGCCACCACCATGCTTCACTGTTGGGACTGTATTGGACAGGTGATGAGCAGTGCCTGGTTTTCTCCACACATACCGCTTAGAATTAAGGCCAAAAAGTTCTATCTTGGTCTCATCAGACCAGAGAATCTTATTTCTCACCATCTTGGAGTCCTTCAGGTGTTTTTGAGCAAACTCCATGCGGGCTTTCATGTGTCTTGCACTAAGGAGAGGCTTCCGTCGGGCCACTCTGCCATAAAGCCCCGACTGGTGGAGGGCTACAGTGATGGTTGACTTTCTACAACTTTCTCCCATCTCCCGACTGCATCTCTGGAGCTCAGCCACAGTCATCTTTGGGTTCTTCTGTACCTCTCTCACCAAGGCTCTTCTCCCCCGATAGCTCAGTTTGGCCAGACGGCCAGCCCTAGGAAGGGTTCTGGTCGTCCCAAACGTCTTCCATTTAAGGATTATGGAGGCCACTGTGCTCTTAGGAACCTTAAGTACAGCA